TTGGTAGTCCAGGCTGGCCTCGAACTCACAGAGATCCGCCTGGCTCTGCCTCCCGAGTGCTGGGATTAAAGGCGTGTGCCACCACCGCCCGGCTCTCAAAAATAATTTTTAAGAGAATAAACTAATCACTAGTGCTCTGGTAGAAAGGAATACTGATTTTGCTCTTATATTTTCCAAACCAAAAGTTGTCTGGATTTACTAAGTGCCCAGTTCATAAGTGCTAGAAATGTTTTGAGATTGATTCTGTGCCTATGAGATACATGCATGTTTATTTGTACATGTCATTCATTGCCATACCCATGTGTAATTTATCTAAAGAGTTATTGTCCATGCATCTTAACAGGCAGTTTAAGTAGTTGAATGACAGAGAAGATATTTTTGTTGTAGGAGTTCATGATAAAACATGGAGCAGCAGGTCACCTTGGGGCACATGCCCAGACTGATGGATGGTGCTTATCTCTCTCCACTGCTCCTCCTACTGATTTATGGATTTTGATGTGTTCTTTTATATCAAAGCCTAGGCTCCATGTCTTGGTTGTCCAGAAGAAAGATTAATATTTTCATTTAATCTTAGTAAGGTGCTGTTGTGTGAAAGAAGATTACAGCTACCTTCCATAGCTGGTCTGAGAAGTTTTTATAAAGGAATTGATTATTTGACACTGATTACCCAAGTCCATTGACACAGACTATTGACAGGCTTGCATGATCTTGGCCTCTGTCCTCTGAGGATGAGAGAACAACCTCTGTATTGTGAAAGGTTTCAGTACAACAGCTCCATATACTGCACAAATGTAGCTTGTTTGGTCCTGCTTCCATCTAATTCCCATAATTAACACTTAGAATAGAACCTGGGACACACCCTGTTCTATAAAAATGGGGATCAGGAAGAGGAAGTAAATGGAGACTGGAAAGACTCTCATTATGGATTACTTTTTGGGCACCTGTGCAGAGGAGTTCCTGGATTGCTTCTCTGGATCCTGTAATTGCCTTGGCAATCTTGCTTAGAGTTTCCAATTCCATTTCAACATGGGCTGTGATGTGTTTAAATGCTTTCGAATCCATCAGCTGCTGATAGCTCCAGCCAGCCAAGTGGCTTCTGGTCTTGTTACTGGCATTGGCTCTAGCTCATTCCCTTTAGGACTATTAGAAAATAAAAGGTGTAAGTTCCTGTCCATGCATATTATGCAAAGCCAAATTCTCCTTTCAAGAAGTTCTGTTTGGAAGCCAAGTAAAATGGATCTCCTTGGAAAAAATTTTCCCTCTGTTGAATAATTAAGTGTAGTTTTTCAGCATCTCTTGAGATGGGATATGGAGAGGCGTTAGAAGATTCCATCAGTGCTAGAATGTTGTGCATAAATAATTAATGTGTCATATTTTGTGTTGCTGACAGTAAACAGTGTCCTTTTCCTTTTCCAGTGATATGAATGCGTCAGAAGAGCGCCATGCCCTTGTCACAGAATTAATCACTTCTATCCATATTTGATGTTTACACCTTTTAAATATTTATGAGCTGTTATCTTGCTTTATTGTTATTTACCCTCTCTTGGGGCATGTGAGAAGCCTTGCATTTCTTCCTTAGCCAAGCATTCTACTTCCTTTCTTACTCTCTTGGCTGTTCCTTGGATTACCTCCAATTTGCATATGTAATTCTGGTCTTGAGGTGCCAGAAATCCATTTGTTTCAACTGGAGTTTTATTGAAGTTGGTTTTATTCAAATCACACACACAAATAAACACAATTTCCAAGGCATGAAAATTCAGTGAGGGTCCTGAAGGGAAGCTGAGGTGCACAAACATACTATTAAGATGGTACAGGTAGATTTTATGTCCCTAGGAAAATGGAAGTCCAAAGTCAAAAGACTAAAGCTGAGCACTGTGTGAAGAATTGCATTGTAAAACTTTACATGCATGATCACATTGCAAAGCTTTTCTTTTTTGTGGATACTGCCAATCTATGGGTTTTCCTTAATCTCTTAACTGGGACACAACTGGGAATATGAATATCTATATGTATTTAACATGTAAAATGTTAGTGGTTGGATATATGCAAACACCTATGAGAGCACCCATAATCAAGGTACTATACATATCCATTATCTCCAGAGGTTTCCTCTGTGCCCCTTTGTTTTTCTGGTTTTAAGATTTTTAATAGCAAAGCCTGGTACATTTCAGTTGAGGCAGGCCCAGACCCCTCCCCTGCTGCATCAAGGGTGAGCAAGGTGTCCAGTTATAAGTAATGGGATCCAAAAACCCTGCACCAGGGATAGATCCTGATCACACTGCCAGGGTCTCCTCAAACAGACCCAGCTACACAACTGTCTCCCATATGCAAAGGGTCTAGTCTGGTCTCATGCAGGTTCCACAGCTGTTGATCTAAAGCTCATGAGTTTCTATGAGCTTGGTTCAGTTGTCTCTGTAGATTTCCCTGTGGGAAGACTTACCCTTTTGGAGGAGGTAAGAGTAGGCAGGGTGGGGGAGCAGAAGAAGGGATTAGAGGGGGATTTGTGGTTGGCATGTAAAATGAATAAAAAAAATTAAATAAAAAAGATTTTAATAGACTTAGGTTTTTCCTTCATGGACTTTTAAAGAATTTTATTGATTTTTCATTTTTTCCACGTTCAGAAAGCAAAATCTGTGTACAAAAGCAAAAATAGTTGCTATCATATTGCATGCAGAAAAAGAATAATATGACCTTTAAAATATGA